AGAGAGAGAGAGAGAGAGAGAGAGAGAGAGAGAGAGAGAGAGGAGAAACTTTAACATAATTCGAAACAACATAATCTCATCTTCAGCGGGATTCTCTGACAAGTAACACTACTCAAGTGCCACACACCGATCTTCTTGAAACTTTGCATGTAATACATCGAAAAACATTAGACACGTATTTTTTTATTTTGGCTAACAAGACATTTTAAGGTTAGAAAACGCATTCGAAAATTTAACATTCTATAGCACCATGATAACTAATGCTACTCCTGAGCGTCATTCTTTTACAGCTTTTGCGACATTACTCTATTATAATTTCATTGTCTGAATGTTTCTGAAGTCGTTAATTATGATTTTGACATTAGTTTTGTGAGATTCAAAAAACTTCTTCGAAACTGACTTTGAATAAAGTCTTTGAAATGTCTACGATTTTGAATCTCGCAAAACTAATGTCAAAATCATAATTAGGAACTTCAGAAACATTCAGACAATGAAATTATAATAGAGTAATGTCGTAAAAGCTGTAAAAGAATGACGCTCAGGAATAACATTAGTTGTCATGGTGCTACAGAGTGTTAAATTTTCGAATGCGTTTTCTAACCTTAAAATGCCTTGTTAGCCAAAATAAAAAAATACGTGTCTAATGTTTTTCGATGTACTACACGTGTGCAAAGTTTCAAGAAGATCGGCGTGTGGCACTTGAGTAGTGTTACTTGTGAGTCCTAGATGATTTTACACTTATACAGGGTGTCCCAGAACAACCTTCAAAGCTCTCATAGAGGCATAGTACGGAAGATGAACATAAAAGTCCAATACCGTTTTGTCATGTTTTCAATAATTACCGAAATATTAATTAAAGAAGATTTGTGAATGATCACGCAGATATGATAGATGAGCTATAGTGGCGATGTCTGCCATCGTGTGCTTGTACATTAAATCAAACTGAATAATAAAGAAGTTTTATACTATTTTCCTAGTAACATTTTAGCTTTTTAATTATTAATTAAAGAAGATTGCTCCATAAGAAAAAGATGTCTCCATGAGAGCTTTGAAAGTTATCCTGGAACATCCTGTATATGGCCGTAAGAGGTCATAAAATATTCATAAAATTAGTAGAGAATTTCCTCTTTTATCTACAGTACAAATCTTGTTCTTAATATAAGTGTTTTATAGGAACAGGACATTTTTGCTTCAAATAAATATACTTTTCTCTTCATTCAAGAAGAAAGAAATTAGAATAACATCTAGTAGATTTCCGATTAATAGTTAGATAGTTCAATTAACAGTCAGCTTCATCGGAAGAGAGAATATCCTTTTGATAAAAATATTTTACTCGGGATATGGGATTACAGGAAATCGCACCTTGCAACTAGAGTTCTTGTTTTTTTTTTTAGAATGCAAGTTTCCCCCCTCTCTCCAAGTACGTTCGCTAGTCAAGCAGACGCGTAGGATTGGCGGGTCGGCTACATTATCCACGCAATCGTCGAAGCTCTTAGGACCAGTTGCAACGTTTCTGTCCGAAATTCTTAATGGGTGTTAAATATACGTTGTTGCGACCGTCGAGCAGAGCGCCCCCGATGCAATTCGGCGCATTCGGGCCGTTGAAAATCCGAGCGGAATTTAAATTTAAGCACTCTCGCACGTCTCGCCGCGACAGCCGGCCGATTTCGGTTTCGCGACGCCAATGTAAATTAACGTCGTTCACGCCGATCTCGCGGGAGGAGCGACAGGCTCATTTCGCCACTGACACGCTCGTCTGAAACGCGGAAAGTGTAATTTGCATTTATAGGTGAGCAGGTGTTGTATCTAGGTGGAGGGTAAGACGAAAAGGAGAAGAAGAGAAAGAGAGGGGCAGGAAAAGAGTAGCAGAGAAAGGGACAGAGAAATCAATTTATTATTTTTATCTTAGGACAAAATACAGCTTCTCACCGAGAAAGGGACGGTGTCGATACGGCAAAGAGCGATAACAGTTGATCGATATAGCAGACGGAGAATAATTTAAGAGACTTTTTCGGTCTAACTCGATTTTTTTACTTTTCCCTTTTTGTTACTTTTTTCTTTTTCATCCATATCATGCTCAAAAGCATATTGCATTGAAGCAAATGTTACTTGTTTTAAGTGTATCATAAGTTTATGTATCCGCAAGTCTCTATCGTAAGCTCATTCTAAGCATCAGGTTTACTTTAGCGAGTAGCTTTAGCATTCCAGTCGGAGGGATATTATCAAATTAAGAGACAAGAGTTTGCTTACTTCGCACATAAAGTCCAGCCAACTGTTTCTTTGATAAAACTTTACGATATTCTTGTAAAGAGAACAAATTGTTCTTTTGAGTACGTTGTAACGAGCTTTTCTGAAACTTGTCAGGAGTATTTCGGATTATCAAGACAAAATATTCTTTGTTGGAGACAGCTATCACTCAAAAGAAGGAGAGTAAACTGAGTAATCGCTCTCCTCAGTAGCAGACTGATATTTTTTCCCCGTGTATGATTAATGTAGACAGGAAAAGGTAGCCGCGTGTGACTCGTAATTTGAGCGAACTTTGACGGGGTTATGGTTACGATCAGGTAGCTTTTTCGCGACGCGAGTTCCTCCATTTGCGAAACTACCATCCGCCCTAAAGATAAGTGTGATACGTTACGGGGGAATATATTGCGAGGCGAGCGGGCGATCGAATTCTTGGTATTATGTATCGAGTAGCCTCACAGCACGTGTCACGCCTGTTGTGCAGTGATATCCGTCTTGTCGCAGATATTAGCGAGGCCGTTCGAGAAGGTCGCCCTGAGGGAAAGCCGGCCGCGCTTAAACGAGCGAGAAAGCCACTCGCTCTATTCGGCACGATCGAATAATGATGACCGATCTCCTCTCGTAACGGAACACTTTTATCTCGTGCATTGAGTCCCGATCGATCGGATATTCTGGGAAACGGCGAATGGAAATACACCGGGGGGAGGAAGGGGGAGGGCCGGGGGAAAATTTCCGATTCACCCGTCCGACTTAAGTTGCGAATCAATTATTCATCGCGCTCAATTGAGCAAATTTGGCGCCGACTCCGCCACGGCCGCCTTACGTCAAACGTGACTAATAAGCCAGTCTGAGGGAGTGATTAAATTTAAGGTGGAACTTAAATTTGAATGTGGGATCGATCGCGCCGTGCAGAGAGTCGGGCTCTAAATTTCATTTGAAATACGCCCGAAATACGCCCGAGCGGGCCATTTTTCACCGTCAATCGGGTAGCGACAATTACGCCTCTCTCTCGCTTCGTTACGGGCCATTCCAACCCCTTCGGGCCGCAGGGTATCGATGGTAATCTGAAATTTGTATAGAGAAAAAGGAAGACGCGAGAGATGCGGTGTGCTTTGGCGAGATATGCAATCGGAGTTTGCCGGTCGACGTATCGCGATTTTCGTCGTCACGCGGTGGAAAACTGGCAAATTTCAATCGTCGCAATCGTTTCGATTAATTTCTAACCCCATACTCGAAGATGCTTAATCATACAATCTTAGACACAGATAAAATTTAATTTAATAAACTTAATTAAATTTAATAAATTTTTTTAATACGGACAAAATGTACCAACTTTTCAAACGTTATATTTCTAAAAACATGTGTTTTGTTTCTCCATCATAATTTTTTCCAACTTCATTGAATCGCAAAAGTATCGATAGATTCATACTGATCGATGTTTTCTACAACGATTAGAGAAAGAAATGATTGAATTTCGATCATCTTTTTGAAAGTTATGAATAAACGAAAATGCGCTGGGTAAAATTTATCCATGTTTAGGGCTTCTCAGCTTTCTGATGTTCTCTAGGGTGAAACACGACGAGTCCAACCCCTCGACTTGATGCTGAGAACGGATACGTTTCGAGAGATGCACGCGGAGAAAGCAACTGCGTTAGTGCAACTGAATTTTCTGTTATCTGAAAAACTCGGTTGTAGCAACAGAAAGATTCCTGTAGGAAGTTTCCACCCAGCCAATTGCTCTCAGTCGGCTCAATCGAGTTCTAATGCAGCTGAATGTTCTAAGTCATATTAATCGAGTACACGTTAGTTGTCGTCGGCGAGTCTGTTTTTCCATTCAGTTACATGAACGGAAATTTCTTTTCCTCGTGCAAACCATGGCGTTCCTCCGCAAAGCGCCTGAGACTTCTTTCCGAGACTGATTCCGCGCGACGAATTAGTTGAATTCCGCTGTTAATTAATCGCGCGCCGATCCGATTTCGCGTAAGAACCGATCCCACTCCGCGCGAAATCGACTCAGTCCGGTACGGATAATCGATCCCACGCTGAAATATTCAAGAACGTTACGTGCCCGAGCGCAAAAATGCTCCGCCGCCGGGAAGATCCTTCATTATTCGACTGCGCCGGGCAATAAGCGGTACGATTCGTTTAGACAAGCTCACGTTTGGATTCTCCTCAGGACGATCTCAACATTGCACGAGGGTCTCGCCGGGACGTCGTTTCGCGTCGCGAGCGTTTTCCCCGCAGACGCGCTTGCAGACGAGCAAACCAGCTGAGATTTCGTTCGAATTCGATCGGCGCGACGACAGGTCGAGCCGCGATCGCGGCCGCAAACGTTAACCCGCGCATCACAGACCGCGCCACGAAACGATCTCGCCCGCTGCAGCCGTCATCGTCACGTCGGGCTGACTCTATTAAGGGCGCACGGGTGGGTAAGGGTAACTAAGGGAGTTTCTCCAGGTCGATCGATCGCTCGCTCGCTCGCACGCTTACTCGCTCGCAAAAGTATGCTCTCGTACTTGGCGCGAAGGGACGCGACACTGAGTGTGTTCTCGCTCACCTCTCACCATCTGTGCTCCGAAACTCCCGGGGTCCCGATCGTCGCCCGAAAAGTGTTGCTCCTCTACGATCGCCGCCGTCTTTCTTCTTCTCGATTTGCGACAGTCCCGCAGCAGCGCGTGCCCCGACGTGGATTTGCGTGCGAAGATGTGCGAAAATTGTCTCCCTTCTTCACCCTCTTGCGCTCTCTCTCTCTCTCTCCTCTTCTCTCCCTTTCTGCGCACCCCCTCAACTACCTGACCAGCACCCGAGAGAGCCAGCCAAGGCAAGCACGATCCTCGCTTCTCGAGCGTTCCGCGCTAACTGAACGGCGCGAGCTCCGACGTCGACCACAGCAACCTCGCTGCGCGAGCCATATGGAAGGGGTTGCAGCCGGCGAATTTCATCTGATTCGCTCGCCCGCGCACGTGAAATGTCGGACTGTGCGTCAGAGCGACTCCCTTCGTCTAATTAATTAACGCACCACGGTGACCATCTCGTCGAATGCTGCTCATCATTATGTTGACTAATCGCGCTAACGACGGAGGAGTATCGCAGCGTGAGAAAGGGCTGGTGACAAGCGCGCCACTTCCCAAGCCATTCCCACCCTGGTTCCCCAGCTGAGACCGAGGCTGATGAGAGGGTGATGAGCGCACTCATCGTCTCCGAAACCGCGATTCGCTGCGACGAATGCGCGCCAAGTTTTTCCGCCGAGGTTCGTTTCCGCTGCTTTTCTCAAACATCCTCGGGAACTTCCTACGTCTCACGGGCGGTTGCAGCCAGCCATATGCCACGCACGTGTTCCTCTCGCGTGCCAAAATATCGCCTGCGGCACGTGTCGCGAAATTCCTTCTCCGATTGTTCAAGTCAGGCCGCGCTGTGTAATATTCATTGCAGCGTGATTTCTCCGTTCGCGAGATACTAGACGCATGCTCGCTCTCAATTGGAAGGACTTCGGCACGACCCGACGTGAAGTCGTCGCACTAGATGATTTTTGCGAGCCACGATCACGGATTAGGTTGGACCACCCGGAGCAGGTGGTCTGGATCAAGCTGGAACCAGCCTGGATTCAGTTCGCCTTCTCTGCTCCGATTCAAATTCTAATCGAGCGGTGCGTCGAAGGTGACACGGGCGCGCTGTGCGACGGTATCCGCGCGTGATAAACCCTGACACACTTGGTTTGAATATCGAGCTCCAATTTCCGATACACGATTCCGCACGTCCGCCAACCAGACGGAATATTGTACCACGCGTCGTAGTCGTCTAAGCGCCTCGATCCGCGCGCTTCCTCGATTCTCTCGAGGTCTTTCTGCGGCGCGCACGTGTCGTTAATTCGTTTAATCACCGACTACTTCGCTTTACGGAAAATCGATAGTCACCGATAAACCAACGGTCTTTCCCTCGTAGTATTTTTATCTCCTTCTCTCTCTCTCCTGATCTTTCTCTCTCGATCAAATATGCCGTACAGTTCCATCGCTTTTATTATTCTCGCGGAGCGGCGATCGTGGTAGGAAATTGAATTTTCTCGCCGACGCGAGGGTCGCTTCTCGCGTGGGGAATGGCGAGAAAAAGTTTTCGTCGAGATCTGAGAGGAGAGAGACTGGCGAGAGGGACTGACGCTGATACAGCGACAAGCTCTCAGCCGGGTCTCGTGAGACAGTGTTTTACTGAGTACACACACGAACAACACATAAATGACTCACTCGCCGGTGACCGTGACTGTGCTCTTGTTGCGTTGTCTCAAATCCGCGAGCGTCCACGATTTACGCGGAAAAGTGAGAAATCGGTGGCGACCGACGTTCGTTCCGTTGAAATTCGCGCGATTAGGAAAATTCTTCCGCACGGTTGACGGTCTCTCACGGAGCCGACGGGGAGGAGCTAATCGTGGGATTGCTTCATAAATATTGGACTAGCTGCTTCCACGTATCCGGGCTATTTAGGAAAGTCAATCAGAAAACGAATTTCCCAGACGCGACGGTTACACGGGCCGATCTCGCGACCAATTTCTGTAACATCGGATTACGCGGGGCGAATGCGCGAACTCGATTGCCAAATCGATTACCTATTTGCGCGGCTTGATTAACTGCCGCCATGTGTAAAGCAACGAACTCGATTATGCGCGCGGAAAATCGAGTTTGCACTGTCATGTGCATGCGAATCGCGCGGTTCGCACGCGCGAACGATTCGCCGGGACGGGAAATCTCGGAAGCGTGAAATTATCAGGATCACTTACGCACTTACCAGTGGAAACTTAGCCTGTGGATGTGATTCTATTGCGTGTGCGCTCGCGCGGAATACTCCAAGCTCCTCATACTGTCGTCGATCGAACGGAAAGCATAATTGTAATCGCAATCAAGTTGTAAATAGAAAGTCATCCGAATTATTCCCCTCTCTTCTCCTTCTTCGAAGAGATTTTAATCTCGCGTTGGATAATTCAACATTAGAAAAAATGCGAACTTTTGGAAGTGTCCTTGTATATTTCTCAAGTTGTTATCTCTTGAGGAGAGAAAAAGAGTTCCTTCCTTTCTTTTTCTATTTCTAGTACCGCGCGAAAGTTCAATGCAGCTTTCCTCGACCTCTTCCCTTCGCCGGGAGTGAGCTGGGAAAGCAGGTGGCGATTTTTCAAGATCACGTTCTTAATCGCAACGGCGGCGCGTAATTCCTTGAGGAACGTAGATTCACCCTCCAACCACCTTCTCCTCCCTCTTCTTCACCTTCCACTTCCCCCCCCCCCCCCT